AAGCTTCCAGTTCAAGTCATTTTCACACTCGTTCTTGACTTGCTTCGACCTTTCTTGTAAGACTGCAGTTTGAGGCTTCGATCATTTGCAGGAGGTCTTACCCACGCTTGAAAGGTATGACGCCTGGAATCTAGAAGAGTGGAGGCCGCCTGGCACAGCTTCAGACATCGTTTTGATCCATTTGTTTTGTTGTTGTTTTTTTGCCATGGAACATTCATGCCAAAATTGGCAGTAGACAACCAAGATGCTACTTGCGGGCCTCCCGAAAAAGGCAGGGTGGTGGTTAGGTGGTTCAACAACCCCCGAATTGATGGAGGTGGGGTGAGTGGTTCAATTCCTGGGTTTTGCGGGTCAAATCATGCTCAAGTGTGCGGAGTGTTCCAAGAACACAGTAGCCTCGGTCCTAGGTGTCCGGAGTCGTGATACATGCAGGGTTGCAGCAACCCCCAGCCTCCCCTACTCTTTGCATTCAGAATGGAGATTTTCACCTGGAGACCGGCACAACCCGACCCGGATGACCTCGGCCGCCGATCGGCCGAAGGATCGGCCGAGCCACCAAGGAGGTTTGAAGATCTGCCGAACTTGGCGTTCATCAACTTCCACAAGGAGCGAAAAGTATTTGTTTTCTTTTCCTACAGGGAAGGATTGGCCAGGACCCCCATACCTGGTTAGTTGGCCGTTTGGGCCTGATTCATACACCACACAGGTCGAGAGGGTCTATCATCCGAGGAGTGTGGAGTCCCACCCACTGCTTCTATCCCAAAACATCCACACCTCAAATACATCCACACCTCAATAGGGTCATACAGATTAAAAGTCCAAAAAGATGTGGCTCACATTTTGATTTAACGTTGTGAATTGATTTCTTCCATCTCCAAGCCACTGGTCCGAGTTCGCCGGGCTTGTTCAACTTCGTCGCCGGGCTTTTGACCGTCCTTAAGGACTGTAACGATCCACGGAAAGCGGTCGTTCCGGTCTTGAAGCCGTTTCCTTTGGAGCGGAAGTCCTTAGAGACGGTGCGGATGGCAGAGCTGCTGAGCTCGGGGTACTTCGTGGTGTCGGAGGAGGCGGGAGGAGGAGGAGGAGGGGGAGGAGGAGGGGGAGGAGGAAAATGCGAAGAGGTCTGATGGATGCAGGCTTATAGTGCGATATGCATAGATTCCATGATAATTCTTCTTTGGTGGCTGCAAAACGGGGCTGATAGTGCTGGAAAGACTGTGAAACGAGAGAGTTTGATTGGGAAAGTGGTTCCATGTAGACGTTTGCAAAAGAGGGTCGTTTTCCTTCAGCATCGTGCAGACAGTTTGTGCAGATGTAACAGATCCAGAGTGACAGGAACTCCCATGGCATGGACCTGCAGTGGGTTTGATCCGAAGCGCAGATGGACTAGATGTTGGACCCCGCATGGAGTGACGTTCAGAATAGGCCCGGTGGCCATGGAAGGATGCGCAGACTAGATTCACTCCCACAAACACGTGACATGGTGTCCTGGAATTGTTTTTTGTTTGGTCTTCAGAAAGGATGTAAGTCGAAGTCCACGAAGCAATCTCCAGGTCAATCCCATGGATGCTGCCCTTTATGATGGCATGGTCTTTGTGGAAAAGACGCTGGGCAATCTCAGATCTGATCCGACACCAGTCCCACATGCTATGTCAAGGATCTCAAGCAAGCCATATTGGAACAACTAGAACTATTTCTGGTTGGGCCTGGGTTTCCCGGAAGATCTTTTTTGACTCACCTGAGCAAGCTAAGAGCAAGCTAAGAGACCTCCGGTTAAGGTAGCGGTGAGTCTTTGACCATCTCTGACCCCTGATGCCCTCGAAGAAAAAACGACTAGAATCCTGGATCGGCTTTTGATAGGATCGACTTTTGTTAAGCTCCCAACGTTCACTGTCATGGCTCATGAATTTTGTCGCACAAATACTCCCACGGGCACATCACGAAATGGACGTATACACCCCTGCTTGAGGACATCTTCAAACTACAGGGGGGAATGCGCCACTTTTGGAACGTTCCTGTTGGAGACTATATGGAGCTTTTGTTGAAGAGGCCAAACAAAGATGGCCAGAGTATTGCATCATGTTCTCGGATCATTGGAAGCTTGACCAGAGTCAGAGTCTCAACATGAATCAAGTGATTTCACCCAGATATCGTGCAAGATGCCCTGAAACTGCAGGCCTCCAACTTGAATACTTCCGTTTCGCCGTTTTCTCCTCGGCCAATGGCACGTTGCTCCGATTGACTCACCCAGCATTGGAAACCCAAGTTGCAGGATTTCAAACAATGCTGAAGGAAAGATATACATTTACATATATATATATATATAAGTCAACAAATTATCTTTCACCCAGGGGGCCCTGCGTGGAACCCATGGTTCGATCCATGGTTGCCCTGAATTTTGCCTCCCCCATCATTCCTGAAGAACCACTAGACTCACAACAAAACACCAAGATCACGCATGGCTCGGAAGACCTCCACAAAGCGACGACGGAGGGATCGACGGTGGGGCCATTCGATCCAATCACCGTTGGCTCGAGGAACCTTTGGCAGCCCAATGAGACCTGGAGCGCCCAGTTGCGGGAGCTCCTGAGCAACTCCTCGCAGTTGAATGCTTGGAGCGCCCAGGCCTTTGCCAGCTTCAAATCGAAGTTCAATCCGCAGAAGCTCCTCCAGGACGCTCAGGTGAGGTGAGTGAAGACTCCCTGTGCTCCGGGGGAAGACTTGGGAGAGCAAATGCTTGGAGGGGTGGGCAACATTACGGTCATCGAATTCTTCCCAACTGAAACGCCTTGAACACCTTGGTTGGTCACTTGGAGGTTTTCAGCTTTGACCAAGAGCAGCCACCAAGTTGTATAGATGTTTCGCATTCTTTCCTTCACGAATGCATTGTGCAGGGTTGGAATGGAACCTACAGAAATGCATAGACGAGGGTTCTCATTCAACTGTCTGTCTGTCAGGAGTCAGGATCTGAGATTGGTTGAGTGCCCAAGTGAGTTCCCAAGCGTCATAGCACGAAATGGCACAAGTGTCCAAGTAAGTATGGCCTCACCGTTGGGGTTGGGGGAAGGATGTGGAGGAATTCCGGGGAAAACCGTTGAAACGTGACATTTGATAGCGTGTGGTATTTAATTGTAGCGTGCTGCAATCTTTGCCCCGAAGAGTGTGGTCACACTTGGGGTTCTTACGGTAAGAGTTAAGGCTGGGTTTGATCAAAGTTTCTCACCGGCGTCGGCGGAAATTTCACTGCCAGTTGCAGCACATTCATGCCTCTCGAGATCTTCGAAGTACATCTATATAGACCGCGCAGGCTTGCGCAAACTGGTGGTCCGGAGCAGGTGCTTTCCTCGAAACACATTTTCGGACTTGGTGGTCACTTTTCGTGGTAGGCGCAAGGGAACCCTCATGTTTTCGCAGTCTCAAGTCGACTTTTCGTGGCAGGTGCAGGAGATCGCAGCTGTTTTACTTCGATGTGCAGATTTCGCGGCAGGCGCAGCGCTTTGGACTTGGTGGTGGCTTTTGGCATGCCCTGGTGAACAGAACAGTGAACTTTGGACATGTGGCTTCTTTTTGCCCCTCCCCTCCAAGCGCTCACGCAACGCAAGCAATGCGGCATGTCAAAAGCAAGCGACAGGCGGCGCATGGGAAGCAATTTGTACGCACAAAGACCTAGCCCCCAACACACTCAGCCATCCCGACTCACTGTTGCTGGTGAGGTGGCGCTTTAACATATGTGTGTGTAACCCTTGGAATCACAGGGATCCTTTCGGATTGTTTTGTTTTGGGTTTGCTTCCGATTTTACAGCAGGGGGACCATCCATGTACTGTGTGCAATGGTCCAACGAAGCGGCCACAGTACATGCGGATATCACGGCTGATCACCGTGACGTACCTGCGAATTTTGTATGGCATGAGGCTAAGCCAAGAACCTCACGACTTGATGTGTTTGACCTGCAGATGCGAGCGGAACGTCGTCAGCCTGTTCGTCCGTCGTTCGTTTTCTTCCTCTTTGGGCCACTTCTCCGTTTGAAGACCCCCAGGATTCGTTGGTTCCCTACCGGTACTCTTAGGAATTGGAACCTTAGGCCGGCGTGTGGCACCGCTTTCAGTTCCGTATGCATATCCATAAGTGTGTGTCGCGCAAAGGAGACCGACGACAGAGTGAAGCACTCTGCAGCAAAAGTTCCCTACGAGAGTGTCATGCAAGAGTCCCATACAAGAATTTCAAGCAAAAGTACCACGCAAGGGTGCCCGACAAGAGAAGTGTCCTAGAAGAGTGTCTTGCAAGAGGGTCGCCCTACGGTTTCCCACATCGGCGTCCTAGATATACAAATATGATAAGTGCACCACCGACAAAATCCTACGACAGTGTCGCGAAGACCGTCCTTGCCTCCCAGAATCTCCGTCGTAGGTATCAAAAGTGACCTTAGACAGTATTTAGTCCTGATAATTTTGCATGTGTTTTGGAGGCGGGTTCGTGTTTTCTTAAATCATTTTTCTCTCGGAAAAACCTATTTTGTGGTTGGTCTCGCAGGTCTGGGATGGCGGTTTCATGCACCAGAGCTTGCACTGCGGTCCCAAAAAGAGTTCCCTGATGCGGCCGAGCGGACAGTGGATGGAAACCTGAGGACACCAAAGAAACCAGGTGGCTTGTTTGAGCCGGTTGAGCAAAAACAGGACATGATTGCTTGAGAACACTTTTAACGGTTTCAAAAGAAATATATACAATGCCCCATGCGACACTGCAAGACCGCTTGATTGTTCCCAGCTGAAAGCCGGTTTGGAAAGGCATTTGATGTGGTGGATCGATTTTTGGTTTCTTGGGATACCTGATTGACATGGATCATGGATCCCCTAAAACATCCTAGACCATACTTGTATGGAATTGGCGGAACAGCTCAAATTCGTGACTGGGTGAGAATCATCCCCTAGAACATGCACCAGCACCAGTGGGGTCGACGGAGAAGTGATCGAAACACAAAAAACCTTCTCAGCCCGCCCAGAAAAGCGCAGCTCGTTGTTCACCAACTTCGACGAGGAGACCTCCGTGCGGTCCTATGCGCTGCTTGGCGGAATCAAACGACTGGACGACGACTGGAGCACTGGTGCTGTATGATTGAAGCGTTCCTGATTAGATTGGAGAATGGTCAGATCACCAAAAACCTTTGTTCCCTTTGTCAGCTCTGTGCCAGGACGCACAGCTTGCCAGACCAAACTCCGATCAGCTTGCCAGACGATGCCGGACCCGTCACATTCGAAGACCGTGAACCGTATCGAACCCCGATCCGACCGGGAGGAACTCCACCGAGACCGTCGAGTCGGCGCTACCGGAATCCCCAACATCGATAGGCTTTATCCCATTACCAGGAAGAGTCAGTACATGAAAAGTTCTTTTGGGGAAAGGTCTTTACTCAGTTTTACTCACCATCATCATTCACTGTTTCTGGTAGTGGGATATACCGTTGCAGGGTCTCTTTATTTATTCTTTTTCGCTGGGAACCGATCTTAATGGGTCAACTCAGATGGACAGACTCCAAGTCCAAGGTGCTTGGGTCTGGATTTTCTCGTGCTTCATCGGGTTCTGCCGGGTTCCCGGTGGGTCAACCACCACATCCTTTTGGGTTTCCCCCAAGATGGAGGGCAAAGGGAACCCATTCTTGGGCCGTTTGTGGTTTGATGGACATGAATAGAATAAGACAGCCTTCACCACCCCACACCCTCACGTTTTGTATCTTATTGTTTTTAGGGGTCTGGCACACGGTGTCCAACACCCCTGTGGTTCATGATTCTTCACATCAGGAAAAGATTGGTGAGGAGTCCCTTCTTTGCTCACGCAGTGACGACCATCATTGTCTTCAACTTGGTGATCCTGGGTCGACCGACAGCGACGGGCTTTTCGAGTTCTTTTTCGTGCTGCCTCCTGTGGACGGTCATCGGAAGATCTTCCCCAAATCAATTTTCGTTGGCAGTTGCACTTGGGGATGTGCGAAAAGTTCCCGAGTACGATTTAAGGGGTGTGCAAGACTTTTGAGACAATTTCTCTTGACTTGTCAATCACCTGACAGATAGATGTGGGTCATCCTGTTGAAGATTCAGGATTTATTCTTTTTAGGGGTGGGTTTTGAGGATTCAACATCTGACCGAGAGGATGTCAACAAAAAGGTGAACGACCACAAGCGGTGAACTAACCAGGCGACCTCTGGACGATCATTTGGAAATCTTGATCAGTGAGTTTTACTGTACTATGGCTGCCATGGTACCATCTGGTACCCCACCTTTTGGTGAAGATCGAGGATCACAAATGAAGTACATGGACGTGAAATGGACTGCACAGCCTGGGCATGAAATGCGAAAAAGAGACCAGTACCCTTAACGATCTTCAGATAAAGTTTGGCAGAAGGGAATCCTGCAAATAGACACGTGGCAGGAAGAAGTGAATGAACAGACCTATGGCAGTGCCACATTTGAAAGCCGGTGGCTTCGTGTGTGGCAGTTTATGGGAGCAAAAAACACATGAAAACCCATGACTTCCCCCCGAACACCTCCAGACCCTTTCCTCCGAGCACCACCGGAATGCGCGGTTCATGCAGTTCCTCGGCCTCGGGGGCTGACCCTGGTGAGGGATCGAAGTGGACGTCTCCACCACCCTCGGGCAGGCGGGTGTGCCACCGGTGCGAGGGGAGCAGGGGGAGCAGGGGGAAAAGGCGGTGCGAAGGACTTGGAGGATCCTTTTTTTGGAGCATCACGAGCCATGTCAACACTAGAAAGACTAAGAGTTGGAGGATGGAGGTGAACATCTCCATGGACGACACCCTTGAATGGACACTGGGAGGGTAAGACCCCAGTTGCCCCGGGAGGCTTTTTCAGAGGACGGCACCAAACAACGAACCCTGGAAGACGGTAAACTGGCGGAAGAGACGAGCTCAAGCTGCACAACACTCCACTAACATCGAAGTGGAAAATAGACCCCTTGGAAGACCAGTTTGCTCAACGAACAGGGGGCTTTCCACGTCCATGTTGGTGAGTGGGAGTGTATCCAAGAGGTTGAAACGCCTGTAGAAATGCTTTGCGGCTTGTGGATATCCGAGGAAGCTTGAGTTTTTCAACAGGTTGGGATCAGTATGGCGAACACGATGAAACCGATTGCACTACATTGAGCTTCAGAAGATTGCAGATCAAGAAATTGGCCGTCTTGATTATCTATGGTGAACTAGGATCATCCTTGATGTTTGGCCTTCAGTAGCTTCAATTCTTGGATTCCTTGGACACGTGATGCTGCTTGGCTGGCAAAGCACAGAGCTCGCCCGCCTGAACCATGTATGTGGCTGTGCTTGTGGGGGTATTTTATATAGAGGTCATGGAAGGGAGTCTACTGTATATGAGTTTACACTCCCTGGTATCCTCAGGTAAGTGGATGGCATGGCCCGTTGCGTTGGATGACCATTTTCCTCTACAAACAAGTGGTTTTCCACTGCCATGATGATTCCATTGAGTTCATACATATCTAATGTGGGGAAGTCTTAGTGGGATTCCCTTCTTGAAGTCCAGGAACCACTCATTTTGGATGCGAAAAAGGGATCCGATTGCTGCCAGTCGCCCAAATCTGGGAAGCTCTACAACTGGTTGCTGGGTCCCCCCACGGCTTTGGCACCGGAACTGCTTCGCCAGGACGATATCCCCCGCTGGTTTGGGGTGTGCAACGGCATTGTGGTGCCATGGCAGAAAGGGTGTGTTCTTTCCCATGGCAGAAAAGGTATGCTCTGATTGGAGAAAAGAACCTTTTGGTACAAATATACAATATGGCACCATCCAGCTGGCCTCCGGCCCAGAACAGAGCACCTTGGGTGCCGAAGCAGAGCGTCTCGGGAAGCTAGAGCATGCATCGGTTGCCGGCAAGGGATAAAGTTCCTCATGATCCACTTCAGTCAAAGACAAAGCTTGACCATCCAGACTCCTAGCAGCAAGCGCCAAAAGAAAATCTTGAAGAAATAAAGCTGACCCCGACCAGTTGTCCATTCCTGACAAACGTGACCAGCAGTTTCGGAACCGCCGTTATATAGTGGCTGCGAAATCATGTGCCTCTTTGGCACTTTGGCACCCGAAGTCAGCCAGGAAACAACTGTGTATGCAAGGAAACCAGCTCCTGCCAGACAATGAACTAACTTTCAATAAGATGCTGGTTTGTGGGTGGCTTTCTGAGCAGTTGGTAGTTCATGTACACTGGAATTACTTTGTTTTGTTGTGCTTTTTGCGTGTTCGAGGGTTTGCGGGTTTGAGGGTTTGTTGCTAGTTCAAGTACATTACCTGATGTCTTTCAGCCATGTTCGCACCACCTCTGTAAGCTGTCTTCAGTATGGGCACCCTGTCAGCACGACAGGTGGCCATCCCACCAGCCTTTGAAAGACGCATCTTTCAGGGGCTAATCACAATTCTACTCAGCACCACGGACCCACGGCTGTCTGTTAATTTAAGCTGAAGCCTTTGATCGAAGCCCCTTCAGCTGAGATCGTGGTGTGTCAAACCACCCAGAGAGATTCACAGGTTTCAAGCCCACATCTTTCTGTACGTTCCGTGTTCCAAGAAAACCTGAGCTTGGTGGTCTTCCCTTGGGTTAGGGAAAAAGGTCACGGGGGGTGATCCTTTCAGTCATGGCTCAGGTGATCCTTTTTACGCTGGAGCTCGGGATCAGCTTGTACGCTCAAGGCTGCCGAACCTTCTTCTGTGGCCGTGAGCGCTGGTGGACCCTTGATGGGCACAACCCCGCCTCGGCGCGTGCCGCGACCACCGTGCCGGCCACGGCGGGCGACCGCCGTGCCCGTGCTTGCGACAGTGGGTTTTCAGAGCCTTGCGGGGGTGATGGTCCCTCCACTTTCCCAGGTCTTGTTCAACCGTTGACCCTGCTAGCCGTCATTGGCATGGCATTTCATGGTTTCAACAGGTTTCAAACACGTATTTATCATACTAAGAAACATTCAAGTGGACAACTTCCGGTTTGTAGAGGAATGCAGTCTTCTAAGGGGTCATTGTCCACTGAGGTCGGATTATAGGCTAAATAATAGGGCATCATTTAGAACCCCTTACCTCCAGCCCAAAAGCAAGAAAAAGGAACACCAGGCACTGCCCAACTGAAAAAGCGAGCGATCTCCAGATCGACCGATCTCCGGTCGGAAAGAGGGCTGTTTCACCGAGGAATTTCTTCGATCTGGTGATCATCCTCCTCTCGCTTTTTGAAAGTGTTCTAGACTTCTGGGCGCCTGGGACGGCAAACATCGCGGGATGACGACGATGCCTTTTTCGGCGAGTGACCGTTGAACAACGAAGCGGAGCTGGAGAGCTGGACGCCAAAGAACCAGAAGCAAATGGTGTGGAATCTTCTCAAGAACCACTCATGTTTTGCAAAAAAAGGAACAGGGATGGTGGTTCCAGGAATGCCTTTGCATGGTGGCAGAAACGGGTGCAGCTGGACCGGAGGCATCCAAACTTGGACCGGAGGACCACTCAACATGTTGCCAGGATAGAGGGGTTCAGGTAAGGTGGCCATCTTCTTTCCAAAGAAGACTCAGTGGCTCTAAGTTCTGACAACTGTTTGAGTTGGTTGAGTTCATTGGTTGACTATAGACTATATATACACAGTCTCCTTCACTTGCTTGGTTGGTCTATATTGGTCTATACAAGGGTCTAAGGATTAGCAACGAGAAGTTCTGTTAGTGATAATGTTTCAAAGAACACATGCAACAACAACCTGGGGCAATTCCCCAAGGTTTTGGACTTTTTGTGCAAAGACCATTTGTTGATCTTCCCTTCTGGGACGTGGTCAGCCACGCCACGTCCCATCCCCTGGCTTTGCAGAGGACTGGACTGGAAGCGAGGCAGCAAACTACTTTCTGTCGTCTTCCAAGACCCAAGAAAGACCCAGATGGACCGGACTGTCCAATGGATGTCCTGGCTACAGATGCCTAAGTAGTATATAGTATCATATAGTATCATAGGTAGCTAGATCCCCCCTCCAGACAACATTTTTAGTAGCACGTATTGTTTTGCAAAAGCATATGAGGACCAAAACACTTGGAGAGTTACCATAAACATTGCCAAGGCACAAAAAACCTTAGTAAGGCTTCACATCTAGGGCGTGTTGGAGGGCAACTGTTGACTTCCTTAAATTCCCTTATATTGGCCGATATAGGGGTGTACAAGAAACGCACATTTTGGCAATGGAAAATCACCGGAAGCTAAAGGCGTATTAATAATTAAGCGCTATCTCTCGGTGCGATGCAGAGATCTGAAAGGTTGCAACATACACACATGCCGCTGACAAGCCTCCGTCAAATACTCCTTATTATACAAGTGTTATGCCTGCAAACCATCCTATGCATCACCTCAGACCCGAATTGAAAGGTTCTCTGAGGCCCAGAGCTTATTGAGCATTATTTCTCTTGTGTGTTGGCCACCTACAGCAGGAGGCATACAGCTTGATATATATATATATATTAAGGATAATGTGTTGCACCCGCTTGACGTCAGTGGTTCTCCCACCCAACCCTGTGTGTGCAGTACATTCCTTGGGTACACAACTCTTATTATTAAGATATATTATAGCTGGTTGGTGGAAAGTGGGGGGAGGGGTCAATGATAGATAGTATATAAGGTCTTGCAGCCAGGGCACCCAGGATCCTGTGTCCTTTTCCCTGCTGCCACCGTCACCGACCGGAAGCTTGCGCCCACCTGCCGGACCTGCGAGCCGGGCAGCTCAGGTCGAATCCACCTCGTCTGCCTCCCAGGGGGTGAGTGCCTCACACTTGCGCTTCGTGCGCACGGTGCGCCTAGCGCGTGCCCTGCGGGGCATCCGAGTGATGCGCTTGTTGCGCTATGTGAGCGCCTTGAGGACGCTGGTGCTCTCGATCATGAGCCACTCAACAATTGGAGAATCGGGACGTGCATGGGGTGTCGAGGCCAAGCTGGAAGCAAAATTCATTTCAAACCTCTGAACATCTCTGAGCCATGTGAATTTGGGGATGGATGAAGGAGTATGGAAGGATGAACCCTTATGTTGCACTAGAGCTTGACGGGGAATGTTTTGCTGCAATCAGTTTAGCATGCCTTTTGCAGCTTCTTGTTGCACCGACATCCTTTCTTTCGGAAGATGTAATTTGATTCAATGTAGAGATGGACGCCCCCAGAAGTGTACCTTCATCCCATCACAGATTGGAGGATGTTCTTTCAAACCTCTTCCAGAGGACCAGAGACGGACCTCGCGGACCTCGCCAGTGACGCAAAGATTTGGAGAAGAAAACTCAAAAGCAAAGCCATTGAAAAGCAATTTGCACTCCCATCTACTAAGAGAACTACTGGAGATTCTATGAGGATTCTCCAGTGTTTTTTCAAACACATAGAGAGACTGTTATAGAATGCTCGGATCGGATTGGTTAAGGTAGCATGGCTTCCCTCATGTGGACGCTGATCCTTCTCTTGCTCCTCTTCTACTCCTTCGGTGCCCTGGAAAACGATCTCTCACCCGGCGGTGGGGGCACTGGGCAGTTCTGCCGAGGGAAGTGAGGCAGATCCGTTGCTCTCCATGGTCTGGTGGCCGATGGTTTTTTTGGAATTCAACACACACACAAGCTGGAACTCTCCGCCAAAAAGGCCTTCGACACCTCAGGGCCCCATTGTTGCGTGAGGGCGTTTCTCCGCCTCCAAGTCCCCAGTTTATCATGGAGATTTCATGAGATTTCTCGCCAAAGTCCCAAACCGAACGAGCTGAGCCCACGTCTTCGTTGTGAGATCCGACCCACGCGGTTCAGGCGTGCTCTTTACTCAGCTGGTCTCAGATGAGTGCAGATATCAAGAAATCGCACGCACCTTGGACAGGTCCATCCCGCAAAAAGACAGCCCCATCCCTACCCCATTGCAAAGCCCCATCCGGCCATCACATGTGTGCTTTTGGGCGAAACAGGTGACCACTAGGGACTCCTGGCGGAGCAAGGACGCTACTAGGGGGCTCCTGGCATCGCTACCTTTCAGCACCGTCCCCGGGGTTTTGCTCCTGAATCTCCCACTCAAGCGGACGGGTGGATTGGACGGGAGGCCGAACACCCGGTGCGTCGGTGAACCGGCGGCGGTGGAAGAGGATGGACGAAGAACCCAGACAGGACCAATGGGACTGGTAGATTCTCCTACAGCCTGAAACCACCCCGAATGTATCTCAAGAACTTCCAGTCCGGAGTGTATAAGCAAGGGTGTTTCTATTTGGAGGATTCTCATTTCGATGATATCTGCTTCTGAATGGGCAGTTCTTTGACTCTTTAGACTGGAACTTTGGGATGTTTAGACTGGCCAACTAGATTCAACCAGACCAATCACTGATTTCGTCCTTGGGCCCTGTCTTTACAACAAGCAATACGACTGGCTGTTGAGTCGTCCATGGCATCAAGATGTCCACTCCTTCGGTGGTTCTTCAGCACCTAGGGACATCGTCCTTTCATCGACGGCTTCTGCAAGAGTGTGGCTTTTTTTCATGATCCAAGCATTCTCAAACTTGTAGTGTCATCATCCTGTTTCCTAAGACATTTCCTCATGTGGCATGGTTCTTGTCAAGCAGTGATGTTCTGATCTGCAAATACCTGGCTCTTCCATTTTCCGTCTTCCCCCCGGTCGCTTCCTTGTCCTCGTCGTCCTCGTCCGCCCAGGCACGCAACAAAGCAACTCAGTGCCGAGCGACTTGGACCGGAGGGCGGAGTGGACCCCAAGGAGAAGGAGACGCCCAGGACGAAGACACGCCACACCTACGCAGCCTACGCAGCCGGAATCGGCTGGACATGTAGGCGGTGAGAATCGGTGAGAAGGCCACATGCTGGTGGAGGTTCTTGGTGGAGCGCAAACGCAACTGTCGAATCAGGTTTGCCCAGCATGGGCATAGGATCATAATTGGGGGGCACTCCAGTTGGCATCCTTACCAAGCCTTGGGGAACAGAGCTTGGGGAGACCTTCACCCATGAGCTTTCTTCTCATTTCTATGGCTGTGAACATTGGTCCCATTTCGGAATCCTCCACCCGTTGAAAGGTCCAACTTCCCTGGTTTCTGTGATCTCACGAGGAGCCCTGAAGCGAAGTTCTTCCATAGCACTGCTGTGTCCGCAACGTAAGGGGGTTCCCCGATGAGCAGTGCGAAGCACTGCCGTTGGTCGACCCTCTTGGGGAAACCATCGACTTCCCGCATTTTCCGGTCTTCGCCTTTTCCGGTCTTGCTGTCGGACCTTCCAACGTTTTTATGCTCAGGTTTTATTTGGTGGCTTTTGCCAAGCGTTCGGACCTCTAGCACCTTTTGAGAGGTGTTTCACATTGTTTCACTCTGGGGGCTTCAGCTTTTGTGCGTCCAGAGGATGTGAGGAGGACTTCGGCGACTATTACTGGTCTTCGATCTCCATGAGCATGCTGACCCTCTTCATGTCTCTCAGTTGAGCAACTGGCAGGATCTTGCAAGTAAGTCGTGGCAAGAGCGGGAGTTTAGGGTTATATACAACACATGGATCAGTGAACACGGAAAGATGGGTCTTGTGGGCATTCATCCGCAATTTCGTCCTTTGCCGAGATTTTGGCTGATTTAGGACAATTCACAATTCCAATCAATCGGCACCAACAAAAAGAGCTTTAATCCTCAACAGGTGGGGATTTCCCTGGTATGACCTCTATCCTGCTGCTTCGGTGTTCTTTGTTTTCCCGCCCGACCCCGACCAGTCCACCAGGCGACTTCGCTCCCTGATAATCCAATGCGAGAGCCGGAGCTCAATCCAACGGCCCCCCAGGTCGGTGTGCCCGCGGTGGTCCAACCCCAAAAACGCTCCAGATACGCACCGATACTTTGAGGGTCAGTCTGGTGGGTGGATTTGGGTTCCATTGTTTGGGGCTTCGACCTGAAGACACTGAAGATGCCTTGCGAAAGAATTGGATGGAAGACCCTACCTGCATCCTGTGACGACCCCAGCCCAGTCTGCAGGGATCTCCAGTTAGGTCACCCCCTTTGGGATGCTCCCTAAGTGCCGAACTTCACTGACCCGCGCTGGAAAGCAGCTCAAGGTCCACCACCGGTGGTGTCGACTGGGAAGATGCCTTGTCGCCGGGCAAGGAGTTTGGTTTCAACGTTCACACACACACACACACTCAAGAGAATGCGTACTGACATGATTGCGGTTCGCCACACGCCGGCCTAAGTAAAAACCTAAGGAACCAAGGTGAGTATATGTAAGGCGTTCTGACCATAAAGCCTCCAAAAGCATCCAAAGCTCAAAAGCAGAATGCGTGACTGCAGTGATGGAATGGATGCAATGGCTGGTCATCTTGTTCTAGTTGCAACGGGACCGAGTAGGAAATGCTCAAGTAAAACTGCAGGTACACACGGGTGATGAATCCGTGCTTACCACTCCAAGGCATAGATTCGTTGCACTGAGTTTGCCAAGGAGTGCTGAGATGTGCTGAGTGCCCCTGCTAAAAATCAACTGATTCCCTGTGACTCCAAGGGTTTCACACGTACACACACCGGTGGAACGAGGGTAGAGAGTCTTTTTTGTTCCAGCCTCAACTTGAGGGTCTTCCCGGAGTGCTTCAGTGCGGTTGTGTGGCGGGTTGCAACTCAAGGCCAAAGGGGCAGCTTGCCTAGTAATAAGTGTGTCGCTACTAGTATCAAGGGCATTACTGCCAGCAACAAGAAGCTACTAGTAACCAGGGCCTAACTGTTGACACTTCCAAGTGGGTCAACGTCAAATACAAGTTCCTGTATACGTTCTTTGAACTTGGCTATGGGTCAAAGTGAGACCTTGGCTGACCCCCTCCAAATGATTGACTCTTGAACCAGGAAATCTGCTCTTCTCAAGTTGTTTTGAAGATTAATTTAGGGGTTCAACTTGCAGTTCATGGAATTGGCCGCCCTTGAAGACTGATTGCTGATTTCCTCTTTCCACGTGAGCGCTTCTTTCCTATTTAGGTATGTTTTGGAGTCTTTTTTCTTGTCTGCTTTGGCCGAAAAGAAACACGAGGACTCTTTTCCCGGCCACTTTACAGGGATTCCTCATGTGGCTCCACTGGAGTTCCTTTGTCCTATTGGTGCTTCAAAACTCCAAAAATTGATGACATTGGGTGATTGCTCAACCCAGTGTTCCTTTTCATTTGGTCGTATTTGGTGATGTTTCTTTTGCTTTTGGTGCCGATCAACATAGTATTCAATAGTGCACGAAAACCAGATGTCCCTTCCTTGTTTATTTTAGATGCTGGTCCTCCAATTCAAGCAGTTGAGGAACCGCTAGAATGTTTTACTCCCCTGCAATTGCCCCAAAGAAACACTAGTTGGTCGTTGGCGTCAAAAAGAGATTCTGCTGTCTCTCCCTGGACCATCCTGAACTGGATCTCCTGGCTGAAGATTGCCAGTAGTGCAGGGTAGTCCAGCCAAGGTCTCCCCCAGATTGGATGGTGCAGGTCGATGGCGGGTGTCAGATGGAGTGTTTTTGGTTGTGCTTGCTTGGTCCCAAGACTCTTCCAGCCAAGGGATCCATTGATGAAGATTTCGCTCATCGCTGTGGGGTGCCTGGTGGTTTATGCCACGCAGCTCAAAGGTGGTGTTCAACATAGCGGCACCCGGGCTGTGAGGGGAAATGTTAAATCAGAAGAGGAAGTGACTAGGGACCCCAGGTGGCACAGAATGAAACAACATTTCCTCGCAGTTCTTACTGAAGTTCTTCAGTCTGGGGGAAACAGTGCTTGTCGTACTTCGATTTGGTAGTGCAAACAAAGAAAGAACAACAAACTATCAAGGCAATTCAAGATAAATCTACATCAAAAAAGAGAAATGCATCGAACCTTTGTAGATATGCTTCTCCTGAATTTCTCCATGAAATGTCAGAGAAATCCTTGGCCTCCCTCACTCTTTTTTCTGTCTTTCTTTCTTTCTTTCTTTCTTTCTTTCTTTCTCTCTCTCTCTCTCTCGCTCGTGACTCATGAGACCAACTAGATGCACATGTTTTGTTGCAAGTTTTCTTCGGGGATCTTCGGGGTGAACCTTGAGTTTGTTGGGCTTCAGTGGGTTCTGTAGTTCAGCCTCTTGGACGCAATCAGGCGCCAGAGCCTGTTTGCATTCTCAAAAGGAGTGAATATCCGACTACAGCTTATCAAGATCAGCTTTCTCTGGAGTCTGGGGCCATTTTCCATGTCGATGTGAATGACTGCTGTGTAGCTCATGCACTTTTGAGCCAATCTGCTGTTTGATCCTGTTTGTAGAGGGTTTTTCGGGGCGATGCCATCCACGTAACCATGATTCTTTCAGGGAGTGCATGGCACTCCAGACCTAGATTCGTGTGTCTCCTTCTCCTTGGGCCCATTTCCAGAACCAAAAACACAAAGACGCCCAGGGTGTCGGGTGTTTGTTTCGTCACAGGTGAGATTTTCTCCCTTGGTCACACTTACATTTTGTACTGTTTGATCCAAGAGACACAAAAAGCACCTGTAAACCTTCCTTGTTCTCTTCCAGGTCTCCAACCCAACCGTCGAATCTACCGGGCCTGTTGTGCACGAACATTTTGTACCGTCACCCACGCACTGAGATTACCATCACCTTCTTCGCCATTGTGAACGCCACTTGGCGTTGAGGGCCCGGTTTGCCGGCACCGAACCCCGCCCGACATCCCAATGGCACGGACATGCCATGTGCATTTTGCCCATCGGTTTGCGGTATTTGGGGGGGAGGGTGGCGGGGGCAATGTCGTTTGTGAACGAGGTTCCGTCTGCAGCATTGCAGCTCGCAGGTTTCTGATCGCATCAAGGTTTTCGTTCGCTCAGGCTACGAACTGTTTCGCGTTTCGTGCTTGTGGTGTGTATACCTGTTTAGTTTGGATCAGTATATCTGAAGATGCATCCTTGGTTTTGGGTTGGACTGATGTGCATTTGTCACCGCGGACATTTTCGCCTTTGGAGGCCTAAACCATTTGCAATGCTACGTTGGTGGGGCGTAAAAGGTGCTTTGACATCCGCCGTGTGAAGACCCGCTTGGTGGCTATGTTTGGCCCCTTTGTTGAGCCTTGCTTCGTGCTGGCTGTGCACTTCCCTTGCTTGTTGAGTTTGTTTTTTCCCCAAGCAGTGTGGTTACACTAAGGGGGTTCAGTTAGGGGTTCTTCCGGTAGTTGTTAAGGTTGGGTGGCTGATCGGAGGTTCTCATTTGTGCGTCAGGCTAATTCGCTGCTATTTACAGGACATTCATTCACCTCGAGATCTTCGAAGTGCATTTCGACTGCGCAGGCTCGCAAAATCTGGTGGGCCCGAGCGGGTGCTCTTCGAGACTGCGCTCCCCGCACATTTTAGGACTTGGTTTCATGGCAGGCGCAGGGGGAAACCTTGCTCCTCTTTTAACTTTTAATGTCATATGTGTGCTCTCACGCGTGCTCTTCTATATGTGCTCATGCGCGTGCCTTCATGCATGTGCTTTCACATGTCCTTTCATGTGTGTGTTCTCTAGACAGGTATTTTGTCCGCTTGGGCTGGCTTGCAACTGCTGTTTGGCAGGTTGAAGGCTCTGATCCCCACGAAAGCAACAAGAACTGGGTCACGTTTCTTGCAGCGGGACGCTTTCGGTGTGCGTGGTATTTTTTTGCAGGAGCGAAGTGTTTTGAGGACGGAGCCGCTCGAGGACACACGCGTGATTTTCCGTGATGTTCTTCGACATTGGTGTTTCCAGTTCCCAGATTCCGACTTTCCCTTCCCTAGCGTCTTTTTTTACCAGAATCAGTTTTTGGGTTCCCACAATCGGATTTTGGGTTCCCTCGGTGATTTTGGGTTCCCACAATCGGTTTTTGGGTTTTTTAGGTGATTTTGGGTTCCCTCCTAGGGTTCCTGCCGTTGTGTCTCTTTCCTTTTGTCGTGCTTGCATCCTGTAAGCAATTGCGCTAGCAGATGGTGCCTTCCCAATGCCAAACTAGCCCCGTCACTACTTCTAATATTCCTTGGTTGTGCCTCACACGCTTTCCCCATGTCAAACTAGCTCCGTCACTACTTCTGGTATTCCTAGGTCGCCTTTGTCCCATACGCAGTCATGCCAGTTGGTCTTGGCTCAATTTGACCTTGGCCCCGCCTTTCAACGCCATGCCGTCATGGGAAAATGTCGACCACGGGTGCATGTGGACCCTGTAGCGTAGCATAAAGAGGAACGGTAGGTATGTAGGATCTAACTCTTGTTGGTTGTACAGGCCGCTTGACTTGCAGCTCACCTTCTTTGCTCAAGCCGGGAACTCACTGACTGTTCCTTGTGTTGGCAAGGGGGGCTCGGGAGATCCTGGCGAGGGTAAGTGGGCGTGCCCGGTGGTTGCCGGTGAGGCATGGGAGACCGCAGGAAAATGACCGCGGCCATGCGCAAGAAGTTGCTTGGTGGCAAACATGTCTCAAGAGCCACCTTCGAGAACTCGTATAATGCGGAGTCGGGTGACTACTTTTGCATCGAGGTCTACGATGACAGGTGTAGGCTGTATAGGCCTATGGGCCTTGGCATTGTGGAGCCCGTGATGCGCTACACACCTGGAGAGGACGGGGCTTTCCTGAAGTGCAGGTACAAAGGGTGCAGTCCTGAGGACTACAGGTGGTACATTGAAAATGAGGGTGTGCCCGGGGGGTTGCCCGGGATGCTATGCATCATTTCTGCGCGATTGAACCAGGAAAGTGCACGGCTCATGTACACGCTGGTACAACTATACATTGCAGGTGATTGGCACCCATCACTCCCAAAGAATGCCATGACCTTTTGGTGGAATGGGGATACCCAGGGTTGTCTCTGGCCCCAGTCCCTGTGCCAGTCAGGGCCACCACCAAGAAGCCAAGGAAAGAGCTTGCGAGAGAAGCTGAGGAGCGTGAAATGGACAAAGTGGGGCATCCCAAAAGGAAACCAGCGCCACCGCGCATGATTCCAGTCAAGAAGGAAGAGGATGAAGTTGACTATGAAGAGGATGAGGAACCCGCCACTATTAAAGGGCCTGCAACAAAGGAGGCTGCGATCAAGAAGCGCAAGCGTGAAGGAGGAGCAGTCGCTTTGGACTCAATGCTTGAAGGAGGCGGGGCCTCAGGCACAAGCAAAGATAAGCCAGGTGGGATCATGGCAAAGAGGGCTGCGCAGGAGGTGAAGTCAGTGAAAAAGAAGAAAAAGAAGAAGACAGCTGTCCTCACCGAGTTGAAGAAGGCAACCACCGGGAAGAAGAGGAAGAAGCATGAATCTGATGACTCTGACAGCAGCTACAGCGATGAAGGAGAGGATGGTGATGAAGAAGGAGAGGATGTCAGTGGTGGCTGGCAATCCAAGCGAAAGAAGTTCAAGAAGATCGCAGAGAGGCACCCGGGCAGGTTGATGGTTCAGACCTTGGAAGCCATGCATGAGCAGCTCGGCATGACCTACGGGGACATTGAAAGTGAAGAACAAGCCATGAGCCCCATCATCACCCGCTATCTCCTCTCAGTTGTTGTGCCAACCCTGGGGTTGAAGAATATCCCCCCAGGGAAGTTGCGTGAGATGAGGACCATTGCCATGGCAGTGGACATGCTCTTGAAGGGCCGCAGTGATTCGACAGGAGATATCCTGTTGCAGAGGTTCATGTCGATCGCCATGAGTGTGAGGGATGGAAGCGATCAATTTGGTCCGCAGATTGAGCTCCTGCCGCAAGGAGAAGAAGACATCGCCATCACGTTCTCCCCTGAGGCGCATCAAGACAGAACCCCAGGGGAAAGCCACACGACGTGCTCACTTCGCCGACGAAAAAGGCGGGGCGGTGGAGAAGACGATGCCGAATCAAGGAGCTATGGCGAAGGCCAGAGCAGCTACTCCACGGCAAGAAGGAGAGTCACGAACAAAGTGGAAAGATAGGGTCTTCAAGGCCCTCCGGAACAGCAGTTGAGTGCTGGAAGCGCTGGTGGCGGCCAGTGCAATGCGAAGGGTTCAGTTGACAGAAGCTGTCAGGATCCCCGTTTCTTCATTGACTCCGATGCCTGTTGTAAAGACCCGGGTGTCGTGATTTTTAAAGAAGTTTGGGAGCTGAGCTGCTTCTCATGTGGGTGCATGGACGAATTTACACGTCGTATTGAGACAATGTTTGACAGGTTTCACCGCAAGAATTGTTTGCAGTTAGGCATTGCGTTGTTGCAGCTCCTATGTTCGATGCCGCGGTGGCAAGGCAGAATAGATTCATCTACGTCAAGCCGGCGACCAAGGGATGTTTTGCCTTTACCCATGTCGCCCATGGGGTCTGCGCTCAAGCTTTTGAAGGGTTGCCATGTCACAATGGAGGGGTTCCTTATTTTTCGTGAGGATGGATTCCAATCACCCCCAAAGCAACAACGAAGAAAAGCTATTCATCGTGGGTGCCTACAAGTATGGCGACTCATCTTTACGACAATTATTCATGGGCAATTTTTTGGGGTGGCAGGGGCCGTTGTATAAAGACGGTGTGACCACGGACCTCCAAAAGGAAGCAATTCAATACATCGAGAGGGTTTGCGTTCACTTTTGTAATGACCCAGTAAAGACCTTCGAGCCAGTGGAATTTGATACGCTGGTGCGGACGAAGGGGATCGACTACACAGGGGAAGAAGTAGCTAGACCCTTGCCCGTTTGCCTAGGCGAGATACTACCTGGGTTGCTAGATGCGGTGGTGGCTGGACAGCTGGAGGCGTGGAAGACCCTACGCAGTGTTTGCTGCCCAGGGAGCGATGGCCGAAACCCTTACCACGGGCATCAATGAATGTGAAAAGAGAAGACTGGGTTGAACTTGCAGTAACGTGATTGACCGAAACATCTTAGTTCCTATAGAGTATGATGAGATCTTCAGAATGATGAAGGGCGCATTCTTAGTGGAATGTTTGCAGTTGAGAAGAAAGGACCTCCAGCAGAAGGTCAGTGCCGGCTGACTAGGCTGATTACGAAGTTCGCCCCAACGAATGCCGTGCAAAAGCTAATGGCCTCAGCTAGCCATTGGGCTAGTGTCCAGTTGCCAGACGGCATCAAAAGGGGCCTTCTATGGCTGGGCATTGCCTCGTGCTTGGCGAGGGCTAATGGCTTTTAAACGGCCGATTCCTGGGGCTGCCATTGATCAACCAGGGAAAGAAGAAATTTGGCTCGCGTCAAAAGTCATTCCAATGGGATGGATCAATTCTGTCTCTCTGTTTCAACATCTGCACCGTCGACTAGGCCTGCAACCACAACCCCTAGGTTCCCACGCAGTGGTACTCAGGAACCAGGGGGACGGCTGTCATACTATTTGGATGACTTTGACTGTCCTGAAATCCTTCCACTCAGCATGTGGAAGGAGATGAAAAACACCATGCACGCATGCGACAGCGTGCTGCGTATCAGTGGGCAGGCGTGAAGATCTCCGAAGGCAAGGCCCATATGCGCAAAAAGCTGGAATGTGGCTACTTCATGTTTTGGGCCTTGAGACAAAGACGAGTCAAACCCAAAGTGCTTTTGATGATCCTGGGGCGCCTTGTGAGATGCTTTGAATTTCGCCGCCCACTCATGTCCTTGTTGAACCACGCATGGCCCTTCCAAATACCACTACCGCTGAGCCATCAATGCATTGAGGAGTTGATTCGATCTATGTGTGTCCTCCCCTTAGCAGTTACCAACCTCCGTACACCAGTGAGCGGGCTGGTGACTTGTTCGGACGCATCGGAATTGGGAGGTGGAGTTTGCGGAAGTGCTGGTTTGACGCAACAAGGATATTCGCTTCTAGAGCGCATGGAGGCACAGCAAGGTGAGAGAGAACAAATAAATTTTAGACCTGCTGGGTGTTGTGAAACCAAGGGCGATAAGACTGGACCTCGAATACTCGCTGTTTCCTTATTTGATGGTATTGGGGCCATGGTGGTGGCTCTTGCAAGGTTGAGCTGCTGTATCATTGGGTACGCTTCTTCAGAAATTGACCCCCGGCGCAAGCGTCTGACAAGAACCCGGTGGCCAGGCGTGATTGAACTAGGTGATGTGACAAAGATCAATCAGAAAATGATACAGCATCTAAAAGAAGCGGTTGGGTACAAGATTGACTTTGTAGTTGTAGGTGCAGGGAGCCCCTGTCAGGATCTGAGTAAACTGAATGCTACAAGAAAAGGTTTAGCTGGAGAAAAGTCGAGATTGTTCTATGAGGTGCCAAGAGTCATCCAGTTGATCAAGGAAGAGTTCAACGTACCGGTGGAGAGTTTTGTTGAGAACGTAGCTAGCGTGTGAGCGAAGAGTCAGCAATGAGTTCACCAAAGTCCTGGGGGTGTTCACCTTTGTTGAGTGATGCAAAATGGTTCACACACTGCAGAAGACCCCGTTTGTTTTGGGCCATGGGGCATATACAAAAAAAGCCAGGTGAGGCACTTGTGGAAAAAGCAGCCTGGCAGGAGTGGCAGTTTCCCATCTGTAGACAGGAGGCAACACTTTGGCTAGACAAGAACTGCCGGTGGCTGGCCGGTGAGGATTCGGAGCAGACGAATTGGCTGCCAACATTTACAAGGCCACAGCGGCGCAAGCGCTCTCCACACAAACCTGCAGGACTAAGGGAGGCTAGTCGGGAAGCGTTTGAACGCTGGAGAAAAGACAACTTCTACCTGCAGGTGTACAAATATGAAGATCAGAATATGATCAAGGAGGCCAGCGGCCAGTTTAGATTAGTGAAGCTTACTGAGAAAGAGCTGCTCATGGGGTTCGACACTGGCTATATCTCTGAAAGCTTTGGGCCAAAAACTACCTCAGCTGAACGTGAACTGATTGGCGAACAAATGATAGGGAACACCTTCTGCGTCTACTCCATCATGATGCTGCTACATGAGCTGCTGCAGAAGTATGGTGACAAGTCCCCACAGATCCCTCACCAACTTGTCAACCTGCGGGGGGACTCTTTGGGAGGATGGACTGAGTTTCCAAAATTCGTGTCGGGGACTCATGACGACATGTCGGTCCGAAAACTAGTGTCACGCTTCATCCGCATTGGGGAACGTGGGGGACTGATGTCCGACTTGATTTCAATGCTCCCTACCGGATGAAAGCATGGCCTAGAGCGGGTATTCAGTCATCACTTTTTCAATGGTCTATTATTCATGGTTGTAAGTGGCGGGCCCCAGCCCAATATTAACGCTTTAGAGCTTCAGGCTGTGGTGAACGCAGTCAAGTTTGATCGATTCTCAAGTCGTCGCAGCCATTTTGGCCAAAGGGAGAAGCAGCAGCTTCCGGCTTCAGCTTGCTCTAGGCAAGTATGCAGTGCTGGTGGTAGCCAGTGGCCTTGTTGTGACCCTTGCATATGTTCACACGAGGGATAATCCCTCAGATATCCCTAGCAGTGGGGCGAAAGCCCAACCTTTCGGAGAAAGAAATCCGTCGACGTGACCGCGCACACAAAACTCTGAAAGGTAAGATGGTGTCGGCTGGGATGCATGAGAGGTACCTCAAGAGTGCCTTGCAGTTCATTAGATTTACAGTCGAGTTCAGGTACGTTGTTGCTGCCTGGGATGATTTGGATGAAGTTGTATCAGAGTGGTTGGAACATATTTTTCACGACGGTGAACATAAAACACTGGCGAGTGATGGGCTCGCGTGCAATACTTTCTGCCTCAGGCAATCGGACGCCTGAAGCATTCATGGAAGCTAGTCAAAGTATGGCAAAAATTGGAGCCGCCGCGAAGGGTCCTTCCACTCAGTCCTTTGATGGTGCGTGCATTTGCAGGTGTTTGCCTGCGGCTTGATCACTACTCTGAAGCCACTGCACTGCTGGCAGGCTTTGATACTATGCTCAGGAGTGCAAAGCTTTACAGGTTGAAAAAGAAAGATGTGACTTTTTATGATATTCGAGCTGTCCTGTCTCTTGGGTACACCAAAACAGGAAAGCGGGCAAATGCCACTGACATGGTGGTAGTGGAAAGCAGCCTCTCCGTTTGCACTTTGAGAAAGGCATGTTCATTGAAAGCTTCTGACCACATTTTGTGGCGCAGTGAACGTTTCTTCCGAACCTTGTTCAATGCTCTCGTTGACATGTTTGACCTAGAAGGTCTGATTACTGTCTACTCACTCAGGCGTGGGGGCGCTTCTTGTGACTTCTTGCAATTTCAAAGCTTGGGGAGAACCTTACTCCGAGGACGTTGGGCCTCTACATCGTCGGCCAGGGTCTATCACAGGACGCAGCTGCGATGGTTGCAGATCTACAGTTGAGTTCCCGGCAGAGGAACATGGCTTTGGCAGCCTCTGATGTTCTCCGTACCGAGCTTGATGATAGAGTGGAAGGTTGAAATCATTTCAACATGCTTCACCTGTCAAGGGCTGTCACTTAAGTTGGAAGAATTCCAACA